CGCCGGACGCCGGACTGGGGGCGGCCGCACGGACCGCGGAGCACAGCAGCCGGGCGCGGAGCGCCGGACCGGGACGCGGGTCGGACGGGGTCGCGGGGCACCCAGAACGCAGGTGAGCGCGGGGCCCGGCGGGCTGCCGCACTAGGGCAGGGGGCGTCCCGGAGGGAAGGGCGACTAGCTGGGCCGGGCCGTCTGCTCCTTGGCACCGGGCGGGCGGGGGGACCGGCCGGAGTCCGCGGCCGGGAGGCGGGCGTCAGGCCCCGTCCCCTCCCCCGCGCCGCCCGGCGCCCGGTGCAGGTGGCGGGGACCGGGTCTCGCGTCCTCGAGAGAGGTTCCTTCTGACCTAGTTGGCTGAGAACTTTTCGCAAGTTCCTCGCGTGGCCAGAGCAGGTGACAACAGTCCCTTCCTGCTCGGGCTACCCTCGGGAGGGCAGGGCGCCCCGGCCGGCGGGGGTCGGACGGGAGCGGAGATGCGCGCGGCTCGGTGAGTCACGGACCCCGCGCGGCAGGCCCGGGGGAGGGGTGTGTCGTGCGCTCACCTGTTTGTCAGTCGCCGTCACAGCGGAGGCCACCGCTGTGAGTCACCGGGCGCAGCCACACCGGCCACCCGCGGGCACACGTAGGTCCTCTCCCACGCACGGCTGTTCCCTCCTTTGCACGTACTTCCTCTCGGTCCTCAGTTTCCCCTTCCCGGGGGCCTTTTCCCTGTCACGCAGTGTTGCGATGCCCACACCATCGCAGCAGCCACACACTTAGTCACTCCTGCTCCGGGTACAATCACACACGACCAAACCCACACTCCCGACGCTGCCCACCCAACACCTCCACTGCAAGTCTCACAGCCCTCGGGAGAGTTAACTCGTCACTCTCCTCCCCCAGATCCTTGACAGCCCTGCCCTATTACGACTCTACACCCGAGTCGCCAAGTCCACCCCCTTTCTCCTGTGCCCTTGTCCTGTCATCTCGTTTGGCTGTGGCATCACTGGCCAACAGGTCACACCCCATCCCGTCCTGGTGCTGAGCCATCTTTTAAAAATGCAAATCTGTTATTGTCACTCCCCACTTAAATCCTCCCTTGGCTTCCTGTGCCCTCGGGCTAAAGTCTGCCCCGGTGCCCCTGGCCCTGCCCCCTCCCAGCTGCCCTTCCTCCACACTTGACTGGCAGTCCCCGCTTGGCTTTCCAGCCCCTCTGCTGGGCTTCTTACACCCTTCCTCAGACCTGCTGCCTCTACCTCCAGCTGTACCTTCTTGTGCCTCCTCTCCTCCCTCCTCACCCCAACCCCCGTTATCCTCACTGTACATTGCTGCCCAACTCACCCTTCAGGGGACTAGCCTTGTAGGCTTGCTCCCTGTGTGCCCAAATGTCTTGCCACAGATTTTGGTATGTAAGGGGAGTTCTGTAACTACTATATTTTAGAATGAATGAATGAAGGCGGGCAGGAAGCAGGCTTGGTGTAGGTAGGTTTTTCCCTCTGCAGGGGCAGTACCTTTTACAAACATTAGGCAGCTACCCAGTGCCAGGCCCTAGAGGCTTAGCTGAAGAACAGTCCCCTCCCTCAGATCACTTTGTGAGGGACGGGTGGGGGAGGGGTGTGCCAGGCCTTCCTGTCTGCTCTCTTTGGGCTGCTGAGGCAGTTTGTTTCAGTGGGGACCGTTTTGCTTGGAGGTGTTTTTCCCACATCCTGGGAAGTAATTCTTGAGGGCCAAGGGTCACGTGACCCCAGGTGTTGGAGGGAGGGGCCGGCCAAAGCCTGGGGTTTTGAGGTTAAAGGACGAATTCTTGAGATTCCTGGAGGGGGGTGGAGGTAGCAAAAGATGCCCCCTCCCTAATATCAACTCTGGCTGGGAGTTGGGGCAGTGGTCTGTTGAAGTGGGCAGAGAAGTTGATGTGACTTTTCCAGAGATGGTCTCCCCCTCACTCAAACAACCATTGGTTACTTGGTGCCTGGAGTGAGGTGGCCTTTCCGGGATTCACAGTGTGTGTAGCCAGTTGTAGCCAGTAGGCTGGGAAGATGCCCCCTTGGGCTGTCAGCATCTGTGTGGTGGCAGGAGGGCCCAGTCATACCGGAAGAAGCTTGGTTTTCTTTGATTCAGTGCCTCTCTCCGGGGCTCCTTGGGGGTGTGGTGTTTCTGTTGGAGCCAGCTCCTGGGAATTGCTTTTCCGTCCTCCAGGACCCTAGGAGAGGGCTGTACTCACCCTGGGAACGGTGCCATGGTCAGGATCTTGATTCCTGGGTAGCTGCTGAGGGCCCCTCCCCCACCCTCTGACTCACTGTCTGACACTTTTCTTGGACTCTTTCACTATCTTTCATTCCCTTTTCTGCCTTGGCCTCTCCTTGTCCTGGCACAGTCTTTGTGTCTCATCTGCCTCTGCCTCTGTTAGCCAGTGGATCCCTAGGTGGGACAGAGGAATGTGTGATCCAGGAGTTCTGCCCCTTTCCTTATGCCAAGGGGAGGAGATAATTTTTCATTTGGTTCCAGATCTGTAGATCCTAAGAGAGAGTTGTTACTTAAACTTGCAGCAGAACTGTAGTCTCTGTGTGACTCTTTCCCTGTGTGCAACTTTGGAAGTTATAAACCTCTTAACCTTAAAGTCTCTTTCTGTAGACATCCCTGACCCGGAGCCCTGGTGTCCATGCTAAGCCGGATCCCTTGACATCTCAGTCCCTTTGCTCTTTGGGGAATGGGGAATCTGCAGAAATGCTCACACTGGTGCTGCCTGCAACCTTGAACTTCGTTCTCCTACTCTCAGAGACATCTTAAGAGTATTCTTGCTAGAATTCTCTGATACAGGCTGGAAGGGGGGGTGCATGTGGCCCCACCCCTAAATTAACTGCAGGGAGCAGGAGAAGGCCACATTGACACCTTGTGTGCCTAAAGAAGGCCTCTGTGTGGTTAGTTAAGATGCATGCTGGCCTGCCCGCTTCCGACCTTGTCAGGCACGCTCTGCCAGCCCCTGTTCTAGGCACAGGCACATTTGGCCAGGTAGAGCTGCCCTGACTTTGTTGGGAGGTTGACAGGCAATGAAGCCATTGCACTGTGGTCAGATGAGGCTGTGAATGAGAAATTCCAGAGTCTGAAGGAGCTGTCTTTCTTAGTTTGGTTGGGCTTCTATAACAGAAACACCATGAGGTGGGTGGCATAAACTAAAGAAATTTATTTCTCATTTTTGTAGAGCTTGGAAGTTGTGTCCAAGATCAAAGTGCTAATCTGTTAGGGGTCCCTTCCTGGTGTGCAGATAGATACTTGTCTTTGTCCTTGTGTGGTGGAGAAAGAAGTTGTCTCTTACAAAGAAAGGCTCTAACTCCTATTCATGATCTTATTATCTCTCAAAGGCCTTGCCTCTGCACACACCATCACACTGGGGAGTGGGGTTCAATGTGGGAATTTTAGAAGCTTAGAGAAGCAAGGAGGGTGGAGTGGAAGACTCAGTGTGTCTGTTTGGAGGTGACTTTGAGATGAAGTTAGGTTTTAGTTTTGTGCAAAGGCAAAGAGGTGGGCAGAGATGGGCCATGAGGAAAACTGCAAGTTCAGCTGAAGCATAGAGAAAGGTGTGTGGAGTCTTGCGAGATGAGTTTGGAGGGGAAGCAATAGTGTGGCCTGTTTCAGCTGCTCGGAATTCTGGAGCCTATGGGAAAGCTTCCCCTGGGGAGTTGTTGTAAGCATGGGAATGGCAGGTGGATATTTGGCTTAGTATGATCATTCTGACTGCAGAGTTAAGAACATCTGGAGGGAAATAAATGGCAGGAGCAGAGGCAGGGGACAGGAGGTGTAGTGGTGGGGACAGAAATCTGTTTGATTCTCTTTTTGTGTTAACAGTTTTTTAACAATCAATGCACAGATCTGTTGATTCGTTAGAGGGTTTTGGGGTGTTTTCTGGCAGTCTTGGGAACTGAACCCAGAGCCTTGGCGTATGGTAGGCAAGCACTGTAGCACAGAACTCATCCCCAGTGAGGATAGAAATGTAATAAGGTTAATGAACTTTTTTTACTTGGTGATAGGGGTTCATTCCACATCTTCATGTGTATTAGACAAGTGTTGTACCATTGACCTATTGTACCCCTAGCCCAAGCTTTAAAGTTGATGGGAACCTATATGGAAAAACATAAAGTATATCTTACATGCACATCTAGATAAACTTTTAGTTTTAGGCACTCATTTAAACACCACCTAGACCAACATAAAACATTTCCATCCCCATCCTCCAAAATTCCCACATGACTCCACATTGTGTGTCCCTTCCCCTGGGAACCACCATTGTGACTTGTATAGTCACCCCTTGGTTTGTGTTGTACATGTCCAGGTGCTCATTCTTTTTCTATACATTTGTAGAACACTGACTGCTGTCAGAGAACTTGACAGGTATTCATGTCAACTCTCAACCCTCTGAGGTTTAAAACAAAGAATTGGGGACACAGGTGTTAAGGAACTTGTGCAGGATCACCCAATTGGTTAATAGCCAGACTGTGGGTTGCAGTGAAGGCAGGCTGTTCTGGAGCTGGGGTTTTTCTTCTATTGCACTAACTAGGCTCCGAGATACCTCAGTCTGACCTGGGGGGATTAAATGATGTATATAAACACAGAGGACTGAGTGCCTAGATTTAGATGGAGGGAAAGGAAAGAGTTGAGGATGGCTGCAGGTTTCTGGCTTGAGCAACTGGGTGGGTGGCAATGCTGTTACTAAGATAGGAAACACAGGAAGAGGAACAGATGGCATGGGGGGTGGGGAACAGAGACAAGGGGTTCAGTTTGGGGCCTGTGAAATTGTATGTTTCCAGGGCAGGGCCAGGCAGACATGCAGAGTGGGCATTTGGTGATAGGGGTCTCCAACTGTGCACACTTAGGAAGGAACTTGGCACTCAGTATATGGCATTGGAATTGGGAGGCAGTGTGGGGACCCCCATGGGACTGTGGTGGGGACAGAATGTATGTTGCTTGTCTGCATTGTGTGTTTCTGTATGTCTGAGTGTCTGTGTGTGTGTGTGTGTGTGTGTGTGTGTGTGTGCATGCATGCGCATGCGCAAGCACACACGCCTGTGCCTGCCTAACTCTGGATCATGAATATCTATCTCCTGGGAGAGACCATAGGTCAGCTGGGAGCTGAGTTGTTTTTGTTTGTGGTTTGACCCTGGGAAGGGGGTGCTGAGCCTGAGAAACTACCCCGGAAACACCTGTGCAGCCTCTTCCCCCAGGCCTGGGGAGGAGGGGGGTGAAACGGGAGGTTTTCTTCTTTCTCTCTTGCCTGCTTGGAGGGAGGCTTTCCCTAGGGTAAATTTTAACCAGTTAATCTGTTGACAGCACATCCCCCAGGATCCATGGGCTCCATGGGCAGGTAGAGATGGGATGCTTGGAAAGGTTACCTGAGTGGAGACAGCTTTCTGGTTGGTTGTCTGTTTCCTATGATGGCAAAGGAGAAGGGCTCCTAACCTTGGGACTCTCCTTTCCCCTTTTCTGGCCATCTTGTGGAGGTCCAGGATAGAGATCCAGCGCTGAGGGTAGCTGCCCAGCAACAGAGCCAAGGTAGTGTTGCTCAGCCCTCAGGATGGAATCCTTGGGGTTCCCAAGGCAAACAGGACTTACATGAGGAAGCATTTGGGGAAGGAGCCTGGAACAGTTGCATTCAGATGTAGCCAGCCTGCTTCTGGAGTTGCTGTTTGCATTCTGCTAAGGGCTGAGATCCTCAGAGGGCTGATCCTGAGGCTCTTTTTCTAGAATGCTACCCATCAAAAGCTATATACCAGATGGTGTGTGTGTGCGCGCAGGAGGGGGTGTCACCTTAGGTAGTTAGTTGCATTATTAGAGATTTTGGGGTTTGTTTGTTTTGTCTTTTTGTTTTTAAGACAGTCTTACTAAGTGATGCAGGCTGGATTTGAACTTGGGATCCCCATACCTTAGACTCTCAGAGTTCTGGAATTACAGAAGAATGCTACACCTGGCTTGAGGTTTTTTTTTTTTAAAGGGAGAAAAATAGCTTCCATGTGAGGTTAATTCTAGCAAGTGCAGATACTAAATTGCTGGTAGTAGGCAAGACAGAGGTAAATTTTAAGATCAGATAAAAGGCACTGGTCACAGTCGGGCCTGGAGGCAGGGGACTTTTCTCCCTGTGCATGTGGGGGTTTCTGAGGGAAAGTCTGAGAAGCTCCACCACAGGCAGGGAGGAGTACAGGAAAGTCCTGCCCAGCCCAGGAACAGGGCCTGTGCCAAAACCCATCTGTTCCCCAGAATGGGTGCCTGGTTAGTAGCCTAGAGTCAGCTACTACTGTCAGGCAAGGTGGGCAAGGTGAGTGGTCATTGTGGGGTGTGGAGCAGAGGAAAAGCAGAGCCACCATCTGCGGGCTGTGCAGTGTGCAGGTGGATCACTCACGCAGAGGCACACAGATATGAGTGTTGTGAATCACCCTTCCAGTGACTCAGCTCCCAGGGTTCCTGTGGTGGAATGAGCGGGCCAGGCTGAGAGGTCTGCTGGTCCATCTGTCTGTCTGCCTGCCTCCTGCCCTTGCTGGCATGGATGTGTGTGTGGGTGTGTGGTAGGAAGTAGTGAGGAACACTCACACAGTTTCCTGGGAAGTCCCTGGCAGAGGTTTTGGGAGTTGAAGGTGCCAGGATGTGATTTGCACATGGTCGTGAGCAAGTCAGGTGCTGTCTTGTCACTGCACCTGGAGCTCCTGGCTGGAGCTGAACACCCAGGGGAGAGTCTGACATAAGGGAGGCCCTATGGGGAGAGGGGTCATGGGCAGGAGCCTCCTCCTGCTGCTGCCAATGGTTGCTGAGAGCTGTCTCAATCCCATTCCAGGCTGTCTGTCCCCAGCTCCCAGAGGACCCCTGTCCCACCATGACTGGACCGCTGAAGAGGAAATTTGACCAGCTGGAAGAGGACTCTTCTTCATTCTCCTCCTCTACCTCCTCTGGCTGGCTGTCTCGCTCCTGCTCTCCAACCTCTTCTGTTTCCCCTGCCTGGGACTCAGAGGAGGGCAGCCCATGGGGTCAGACACCCCTGTCTGACCGGGACCTCTGTAGCTCAGGAAGTTTCACCCGTGAGTCCTCTCCCTTGGGAGCCCCATCACCTTCTGTCTTCCTTCTTGAAAAATGAAGTTGGGAGGCTCTGGTCAGCCATTTCAGTCTCTGCAGGTCAGGTTCTCGAGCTGTAAATCCTTACAGGGTCCACTGCTCCATCATGATGGCCTGGTCACTCTGTCCAGGGATGCTTGGGCCCAGTTGAGTTGCTGTCGACCTTGGGAATGGTGCTGTCTGGGTACTGCTCCTTGGAGTGGCCCTGGGCCTCCTGCTCCGCCCCTCCCTTATATTACAGTTTCGCTTCTCCAGTGTGCACCCTGCCCGCCTCCAGACTGGGCTGTGGAGGGCCACACCCCGCACATCCCTGCCAGGCCTGACCCTTTGTCAGAGTGCTTTGCCTGCACATACTGAGAGAGGGTTTTTCCCCATTTAGTTTTTTTTTTTTTCTAAGACAGAAACTCACTGTGTGGTTGAGTTTACTATGTAGCCCAGGCTGCCCTTGTCTCTGTCTCAGAGTGCCAGAATTAGAGGCATGTGCCACCTGGCTGTTTAACTTAAATGTATAGTTCGTGTGTACATACATCTGTACATTATATATACCTTTAAAAAATAAATTTTTTTTTTCTTAATAATGGTGATGGAATCCCGGGCCTTGCCACTGAGCTGCATCCCAATCCTTATTCAGTTTTCTTTTCTTTTCCTTTTTTTTTGGCAGAACCAGGGATTGAACTCAGGCCCTTGCACTTGCCAGGCAGGCACTTATTCTACTGAGCCATCTCCCCAGCCCCTTTATTTTCATACAGGGACCCTGTGTTGCCTAGGTGGGACTTGAACTTAGTGATCCTTCTGCCTCAGGCTCCCGGAGTGCTGGAATCTTAAGCAGATGTGCCTAGCTTAAATACTTTCAGCACAAAGCCTCTAACAGTATAAGCCAAAGCATTTTAGAAGTGAAATCGGACAGCTGAGTACAATAATATGAAGTTGAAATACATGATCTATAATCTCAGCACTCAAGAAGAGGCTTAAGAATTATAAACTGAGGCCAGGCTGCCCTACTGGTGAATTTAAGGCTAGCCTGGGTTACATAGTAACACCCTTTCTCAAAACACCAAAAAGAGAAAGAGAAAATTGCCAATATTTGACCATAAAAATGTACTGATATATGTATTAGTATATGTTATCAATATATAAAGAGAGCTTAGTAATCAGAATATAATCAGTGACTTATAAAGAAGCCATTAAAAGCCTGTGGTAAAACACAAGCTCTAAAGGAAAAAATAAGTATTTTTGATTATGCAATCTTTAAAGATTGTGTGAAGCTGGGCATGGTGGGTATATACCTGTAAGCCCAGTGCTCAGGAGGCTGAGGCAGGAGTGTGGCTGCAAGATTGAGACCAGGCTGGGTTACAAAGTGAGCTCAAGACCAGCCTGGATTGCATAGCAAGCAAGATCCTGTCTCAAAAAGAGAAAAAAAAAAAAAAAAAAAAAAAAAAAATTAAAAGGGCTGAGTGTGTAGCTCAGTGCTAAGGCTCTGGGTTCAGTTGCTAGTGCCATCTTTTACCTGAATCGTGAGTGGCTTGGGAATATAGCTCTTGGGTTCAGTTCCCAGCACCAGACACAAAAATAATTTGTGGACTGCCATAACAAAAGTGAAAGACAAAAATTATTGTGCATACAGGTAGCTTACACAAATGATTATTGTCTCTTAATATCATATAAAAATAATAACTAGAAAGTGGGGGGCCATGTCAGTAGCTCAGCAGTCTAAGCGCCTGCCTAGGCAAATGCAAGGACCCAGGTTTGAGCCCCGGCACTGCATGCTGTGCCAGCCTCTATGCCAGGTGTGCCAAGCTGGCCACCAAGACCGAGCATGGTGGTATACACCTGTAATCCCAGGGCTGGGGAGGCTGAAACGGGAGGAGCACTATGAGTCCGAGCTGCATAGTGAGAACCCTGTACCAAATACATAAAAATTTTATTTAAAAAGGGTTGGGGAGATAGCTCAGTAGAATAAATGCTGCCTGGCAAGCTCAAGGTCCTTAGTTCAATCCCTGGTACCAAGAAATAAAAAAAACCAAAAAACAACTAGAAAGTTATACAGAGACCTGTATGGCTGGTGAGGGTGGGAAGAGGCCAATTTCACAAATCTTGTCATTTGGACTGGGGAATGGCAGTAAGTGTGGTTGATGTAAGCTTACCAGATCTGACCCCAGCCAGGCTGGCTCTAGAATGTAGCTCTGTCCCTGCCAAGGTGGGAGAGGTGAGGGGACCTGTGAGGAGAGATGCCCACATGGTCTTCCTGGAGTTTAACTGATGCCCTGTCCCTTCCCTGCATTCAGCACTGTCCATTCTGAAGCGGGCTCCTCGAGAGCGCCCCGGCCGCGTAGCCTTTGATGGCATCACCGTCTTCTACTTCCCGAGGTGCCAGGGCTTTACCAGCGTGCCCAGCCGAGGAGGCTGTACTCTGGGCATGGCTCCTCGCCACAGTGCCTGCCGCCGCTTCTCCTTGGCTGAGTTTACCCAGGAGCAAGCCCGAGAACGTCGAGAGAAGCTCCGTCAGCGCTTGAAGGAGGAGAAGCTGGAGGCATTACACAGGAAGGTAGGGCAACCCCTTTCCCCAGTAGCTCCTAAAATCCTAACCTCTGGGTATTGGGTGCAAGTGTGGGGAAACAGCAGGACAGCACTAGGCCACTTTGTCTGCAGGCCTGAGAGGCTGTTTGCTATTAGGGCACCTGGGGTTTGGACCCTGAATCCATCTGACCAGAGGGAAGGGGTGGGTCTGCCTGCTTTGGGAGGGGAGGTGACCCAGGAAGAACAGTGCTTGCACCTCTGTGAAGCAGTGTCTGGCTGTGCTCATGGACATTCCATAGCATCCCACATATAGTGGACACTGGGGAGAGTCTGTTTCATGTTTGCGTCTAACATCTCTTTCCCATGGATACAGCTTTCTGCCACTGGGCTCCCAGAGATGAAGGCTGGCCAGCCCCTCACAGTGGATGCCATGGATGATGCTTCTGTGGAAGAGGACTTGGCTGCTGCCGTGGCAAGTGGCCGGCTAGAGGAGGACAACTTCCTTCAGCCTTACTTACCGCGGCAGCGGCGGGCTCTGCTGCGGGCTTCGGGTGTGCGAAGGATTGATCGTGAGGAGAAGAGGGAACTACAGGCACTGCGGCAGTCCCGCGAGGACTGTGGTTGTCACTGTGACAGGGTCTGTGACCCTGAGACCTGCAGCTGCAGCCTGGCAGGCATCAAGTGCCAGGTGCAGTGGTGGATGGGATGGGCAGGGGAGCCTGAGCCTGCAGGGTTGTCGCACTCTGCAGAGTTCTTACTTCTACCTGTGCTTTCTTTGCAGATGGACCATACTGCTTTCCCCTGTGGCTGCTGCAAGGAGGGCTGTGAGAACCCCAAGGGCCGTGTGGAGTTTAACCAGGCACGAGTGCAGACTCACTTCATCCATACGCTTACCCGCCTGCAGCTGGAGCAGGGTGTGGAGAGCCCCAGGAAGCTGGAGCCCCCTGCTCAGGGCAGCCCACCCAGCCCTGGTGAGCAGGCCCTGGCCTCCACGTTCCCACTGGCCAAGCCTCCTGTGAGTAGTGAGCTGGGAGACAACAGCTGCAGCAGCGACATGACTGATTCTTCCACTGCGTCTTCATTGTCGGGCACCAGTGAGGTCCCAGATCGTCCCATCCACTCAGGCCTGCCTGGCCCTGGCTTCCAACCTGGCATGGATGATGACAGCTTGGCACAGATCCTGAGCTTCAGTGACTCTGACCTCGGTGGGGAGGAGGAAGAGGATGAAGTGGGTGTGGGGAACCTGGACAACCTCAGCTGCTTCCACCCAGCTGACATCTTTGGTACTGGAGATCCTGTTGGGCTGGCCAGCTGGACCCACAGTTACTCTGGCTCTAACCTTGTGTCTGGCATACTGGATGAAAATGCCAACCTCGATGCCAGCTGCTTCTTAAATGGTGGCCTTAAAGGCTTCAGAGAAGGTAGCCTCCCTGGCACCTCAGTGCCACCCAGTGTGGATGCTGGCCAGAACAGTTCAGTGGACCTCAGCTTGTCTTCCTGTGACTCTTTCGAGCTGCTCCAGGCTTTGCCGGATTATAGTCTGGGGCCTCACTACACCTCCAAGAAAGTGGCTGGCAGCCCAGACAGCCTCGAGGCCCCACACTTCCCTGCGCCTGGCCTTTCCCCACCTGCAGATGCCAGCACGTGCTTCCTGGAGTCCCTCATGGGCTTGTCCGAGCCAGCTGCAGAGGTTCTGGCTCCTTTTATTGACAGCCAGTTTGAGGACGCTGCCCCAGCATCTCTGGAGCCTGTGCTGGTGTGAGGACTAGGGTGCCTTTTCCCTACCCCAGGAGCCCCAGTGCTGCTTTTCTGTGATTTGGGAGCTCCCCAAGGTCTGCATGTGTCAGTCTCCCACTGGCTGGCCCAGCTGCAGGCACTCTTGGTTTCATACAACACTGAATTTATTTATTTTTGTTGACTTCTGTGCTGAAGGGGGTGGGGAGGAGCTTCACCATTCAGCCACCTGGCCCCTCAATGCTCTTCTACCTTTGCAGGTGTTCTGGGAAAGAAGACAGAGCACTTCTGGAGCTGGGCAGACCTCTCTGGGTCTCTGTGATGTTCCTTGCCCAGAGATGGCAAGACAGGGGTAAAGCCAGCCACCTGTGGTTTCTCCTTTGCTCTGAGCCCCAGACCCATGGGTAGCTGACCCTCTGGACTGTGAAGACTAATTTATTTCCATAATTTATTGAGAGTCTGAGGTGGCTCTGGCTGGTGGGCAGTGCTGGTGTGAGTTCCCTTTTGTCCTGCACCCTGCCCTGCCTTGCCCTTCTCTGCCTAGCTTTGATGTGGACCAGAGGTGGATCTGCGTCCTATGGTGTCTTCTGTCAGCTGCCTGGCTCCTGGATGGCTGAGCAGGCGGGGCTGGGCTGACAGCCGTGACCAAAACCTCTTTTTCACTGTTCAGCCCCTCTGCTTCCTGCCCTCTGGCCATCTCCCCTGTCCAGAGGCCACAGCCTTTATTCCCAGCCCAGGACATGGGAGGTGGAAGCCAGGGTTCCAGGGGAGTAGTGAGCTTGCCTCAGGGTTGCAGAGTGCCCCAGACTACTGCCTCAGGCTTTCTGGGCGCCATAGGCCAATTGGCAAGGGCTGCTCCTTAGGGCTCTCATGCTCTTTGTTTGCTTGTACTAAGTTTTGCATCCATTTTTATATTGTCCCTAAGTATCAGAACTATAATTTATTCATTTCTCTGTGTGTCTGTGCCAAGAAACCCAGGCTCGGGGCTGCCCCTTGCCCAGGAGGCCTTGCCAGCCTGGGTGTCTGGGAACACATTGTACCTGACCTGACAGGTACCAATAAAGAGGCTCTATTTTTAACATTGTGGTCCTCATCAATGGAATGGGGAACAGGACACATCCCTGGGAGGTAGGGAGGAGTGGGGAGGACGGGCCTGCAGGACAGCATGGACACCGAAGCTGTTGTGAGCTGGGAGGGGCACACAGCAGATTGGGCCTCCTTCCAGGCAGCCCAGTCAGCTTGGAGGCAGGAAGCCAGCCGAGAGGCTGAGAGGCCAGCTGGGCAGATGGAGCAATTCTCTCTGGATTAACCCGCTCCTGTCCAGTGGTCACTTGGGGTAGCAGTGAGGTGCAGCAGTGGGCGCTCTTCTGAGATAGGCTCTTGCTCACGGTGGGTAAGAGCACCCTCTTCTGTGGAACACTGAGTCCCTCTGGTGAAGTAAGAGGGCAGTGAGATGTGGCTGGTGATGGCCTGGCCTACTAATAGCTCAGCATCTGTGGTCTCTGGGGACTTGAGCACAGGAAGCTGCAGAACCTCATCCATCTGCACCAGCCAGACCTGTCTGACCTGTCCCTGGCAGTCCAATTGGGCTGCAGTCCAGAGGAGCAGGCCATAGCCTGCCCTGGAGATCCCTGGTCTGGAAGTCTGAGGAAGGCCCTGCCTTCTTCCCAAGGAATGATCATTTGTGAAGGTGCTGGGAGGGGTACAGCAAGAGACCCTTGCTGTGCTTGGACCCTCTGCTTCTGATGAGCTGTCCTGAGTGTGTTCTTGAGTGTGGACTCAGACAGGTTCAGGTTGCAGCCTTCTTACTACCCGGGAGAGGAGTTAGGCAGATTACCTGCTGTGTGCCTGAGTTCCTCAAAACTGTGCAAATAACATGACCCTCATAGACTTGCTTGGGCCACACATACACAAAGCACTTCCCAGAGTGCCTGGAACACGGAAGCCCCATACCCATGTGTGTAACTTCTGTTTTCCTATTTCTACTGCAGTCCTGTCACTCTTTAGGTATTTGTCTCTTGCCCTGCACAAGCTTGGACAGGACCCCGTGACCACAGCAATGGCCATTACAAGACTCCTACCTTGGTGTCTCAACCTGTGGTAGGGCAGCTGTCCCTAGATACTGCTCGGCTTTATTTATTTAAAAAAGTTTTTTGTAAGAGCAGAATATATTGGGGGAAGAAAGCTTCTGTGAGAGAGAGTCAGAAGGGAGACCTGAGTGGGTTGTCCCTTATTTAAATTTAATTTTTTATCTTTTTGAGATAGGGTCTCACTGCATTTCAGGCTGGCCTTAAACTCCTTCTGTAGTCCAGGCTGCCCTCAAACTTGCAGCAATTCTCCTGCCTCAGCCTCCAGAATGCTGAGATTGCAGGTGTGCATTGTCACACTTGCTGGCCTTTTGACAGTGGAGAATCCAGGTATATGCAGTTATCTTGTCTCCTCCCTCTTCCCTGGTGTCTGGAGATGCCTTTTAAGGCTCGGCAGGCATGATCCAAGGGCCCAGGAGTCTAATGATATCCTTAGGGTATCCCTCAGCAGCTCAGATCCTGGCTAGAAAGCCCCACAGGCCCCTACTGCCTGGACTTGGCCCAGACAAGACAAGCCTGCTTACTTCCTGATTCTTGGTTTCCTCAGCTGCTAGAACCACAGGGTCAATTGTTTTTAGGTAAATGAAGACAACTTCGGTGGGTTTTTTTTTTGTTTGTTTGTTTGTTTGTTTGTTTTTAGCAACAAAAGCATGAATAATGCACAATCCTTTTACACAGACTGCTTCTCAGTCCACCTATCTCAACAAAACTGGGTTGTAATGCAGGCTGTACAAAGAGACTGGGAAGATGGCAATAACCTGGGGAAAGCATTCCAGATTGCCAGCTCGTATCAAGAGGTATGCACGTGATCAGCAGTATGTAACAAAAACAAGGCTTAGCCACTTACGCTCTTCTCAAAGGGACATCTGTTCATTGTTCCAAACCTTGGTCACTGGACAGCTCAAAAGCTCTCCCATATCTGCATTTATTCACATTAAGTATTTATCTTCAAATCAATTATATCAATAAGCTTACTAGTCAGGGCCCTGGAATAATACCTGTGAGTTCAGAAGTCTGTTTTGCTAGTTACTCTTCTCTGTCATAAACACAATGCATGAGCACACTAAACTTATGGCTGGGCTTGACACCCCAGTACCACATAAAATATTTGCTGTCTATCACTGGCAGAGCACTGTCCCATGATTTAGAAATACAGCTGGGTTAATTTCCTGCCCTACATGGGGACACTGAGACCAAGAAGGGAGGGGACTTGGGAAGAACATCTGGGGGAGGATCCTAGGTCCCCTGACTCCCCGGTTCAGAGTTCTGAGGTGCTGGGGGGGTGGGATGACTGCCATCCTGAAAGCCGGCAACAGTGGTATTGGGAATGCACAGAGGTAACCTGTCAGCCCCTTGCCAAGTAGGAGGAACATTTGTCAGAGTAAGAGCTGCTCATATTGCCTCCTGGAGCACTGAAGGATGAATTAGTTGGCCAATGACTTACAAAAGCTAAAGTGAAGAAAGATTTTTCTTAGAATGTACTTCCCTTTCAGAAAAACATAATTATGTTCATCCCAAACTAGTGAGGCCCAGGTGGAGATGTGGAGGGTGGCGAAGGGCAGTGGCCCTCTCTTACACAGCCCCAGCTCTGGGGACTTGCAGCTGGCCCTCCTGAGACTTGGTTGATAACATGTAAAGAAGGAGCAGTTGCTTCTCTGGCTCCAGGGTAATGGGACTCAATGGGCAAGGGAGGCATTTAAAAGTTGCTACAGGATTTTTTGTTGTTGTTACCACTGGGATCCCCATCACCCTTCATTCTCCTTTGCTCCCTTAAGAGTCTGCCTTAAAGTGGGGCCTATTACAAGTAGCTGAGGATCCGGGCATGGCAGCTCATACCTGTAATCCCGGCACTAGGGAGAGTGAGGCAGGATGACTACATAGCATATGAGGCCAGCCTGTCTCAAAAATTAAAAATAAAATATATAAGAAGCCCAGCATAAGTCAAGTAAGTTGGTGTCTTCTTCAGAGCCAAACTACTTCTTGTGCCTTAAAAATGTAAAACTCTAGCATGCCCCTCAGCCAGGTGAGGCATAACAAAATAAACCACATATGATAAAGAAACATGTAAGAATATGTCATTTACTAAATTCCTTCATCACCCCACCTCCTGTTCCTCTGTGAGACTGCTGTAGGTCAATGGCTTCCTCCAGCCATGACCTCCTCTAGCCACAGTTAGGGCCTCAGGGATCTTTGAGCTTTTTCCAAAATTTCTTCCCTGATCTTGGGGTAGCTGGGTTGCTCCCTGAGGACCTGGTACAGAGAAAGGATGGGGTTGCAGCACCAGGCAGGGGTCCTGGCCATCACACCTCCCTGCCACTGCTGGTGGCTTACTTTATGGCAGACTTCAATGGCTTCCACAAATTTCTTGTCCTTTAAGTAGTTGAACGCGAGTTTGAAACCTGACCAGGGACAAGGATATGATAGGCTGTGGCACCCTGAGGAGGTGAGAACCCCTTTGTTTTCCCCAAGATCCTGGGTACAGACTTTGAGTTCTGGAGTCAGAGTGGGGTCCTGTGCCAATCTACCTCCCACATTCACCATGACTACCTTGGCTGGCTGCCTTACCAATGGCTGGGTTGGCCCGACTGCTGTACTTCCAGGCCAGCTCGTAGTTGGTGGCCGCATCCTTGTAGGACTGTTCCTTCTCCATGATGAAACCCATGTACTCATAGGCCTTGTAGCAGGACTGTGGGGAAAGCTGGTCAGTGTCCCTGCTGAGGTGAAGCTATCACCATCCAGCACCAGAGTGGACACAGATGAGATCATGGGATGGCTATGAGCCATAGTAACCCAAACCACATAGGGACGTGGGAACACACTTTGCAAGGGGCTAACTGTGCACCCTGGGCCCCTGCTAACCCAATGCAGGCGGGTGTAACTTTCTGTGAAGCCTGTCAGTGGCATGCCCCAATCCAGCCAACATCCCTCCTCTTAGAATGAGCCCAGGGACTCCCCTTAATCCCACAAACTGCTCTGTCCTTCTGTTTTCCCCTGCTCTGTCACCCTCTGTCCTTCTGTTCTCCCCTCTCCTGTCTTGCTCTGTCACCCATGGCCCCAGGTCTAGTCCTGGGCAGTTGCCCACACATAGTGCTCACCCACTTCCTCCTTTCCAGTTTCTACTCTGCATCTTCTCTGTCCCCAAAGCCAGTGCACCCTCCTGACTGTCTTGAGCTTGCTGAGCTCTGCTTGTCTTCCCTGCCCAGAGTCAGGTGCCACCTTGCCTTGTTGTACTGGATGCAACGGCGCAGGAGCTCTGAGGCGAGGTCAAACTTGCCACCTGAGCTGTAGATGTCAGCTAGCAGGAGCCAGCTTTTCTCCAGGTCTTCAGCCTCGGCCAGTGTCCATGGGGCCTTGGCCAGGCGCTTTAGCTGTGTGCGTGCCTTGGGGATCTGCTTCAGCAGCATGCAGGCCTGTGCTATGCCCAGCAAGGCAGGGATGCTGTCTTTCTGCATGGGAGTGGGAAGTGGGGGTCAGTGTGTCCTGCCTGCTGTCAGCACCCTCCCCAGCCCAGCCAGAGCACCTCAGCCTGTGCAAT